TCTACTGCGTCGATTGACGGCTGATCTGTCAATGTACAGCTCACTTCCACAGTCTGTTCTCTCCAAAACTGACACTGGAGTTGATCTTGCACGTTCATCTCTCATTTTTTGTTCTCACTGAGACGATGGAAATGAATACCTGCATCTGTTACACTGACAAAATCATAGATGATCAAGATGCAACCTTATCTGTAAGATAAAAACAATAACTTCAAGACTCATGGTGATTGGCAGCGTCCATTATTTAGAGCGGTTACTTTGCATGTTGTGTGTATCTGTGTGTGTGTGAGACTGAAAAAGGAAGAAAATGGCTTCATCCATGTGTCCTCTTCACTAGCGGAGTGTGCTAGGGGCTCGCCTTCCTCGCACTGACAAGGTAACCCTTAGCCTTGATGATGCCCCTGCTTTTGACAATAATAGAGTAGCGCAGGACCCACTCCAGCCTCCAGTCAGCGATGTTGAGGTCCTGTGTTCCCTCCTGCACCGCCTCCTGGAATGTGGCTGCTGACATCAGCTCTGTGAATGGAAACATGAGGCCGAGAGAGGACCTGAGTGAACGGAGCAGCTTACATTGTGAAAAGCACATAACAAATTCACTGATACTGATGCAGTTGACTGTAACTGCAATTTGTTAATTGGTTTATAAAGAAAAGGTTTAAAGAATAAGGCTGGTATTTGTCTATTATTTTCTTATTGTCAGTAAATACCATGAAAAGTTTATCTCTCAATCTACGGTCCTACGCTATCTACTGTTGTTGTCACCTTAGGACATAAATCTTTAAGAATCTATATAGTTTTATTTGATTAAATTCCATAAAACACATGGGCACTTTACTTTTGAGTTTGAACTACAACAGCGTATTTCGTGGGGACTATTTTCAGCTGAATAAATACAAAACAAACTAGCGTTCTCATGATAATGTAGTCACTCAGAGCAATTAAGTGTTTTGGGGGTTTTTTTGGACAACAATGGAGGTCTATGACACAGAGGAATATGATATATCAGACTGTTTCTGCAGAAACAAAACGTGTTAGTGGATCAATTCATAGCTGGTTTTGGTCTTTATGGCTTTTGCTGAGAATCACGAGTAATATCACAAGACTTATCCTTTTATGTCCAACTAAGCACTGACAACACTTGATTTAGAACACCTGCACTCTGTTTATAAATCCACCCAAATTTCACCTTTGGGATCGTTGTGTGTGAGCAGCTGGATGTCAAACTCCTTAGCGAAGGCTGTCAGGTCAGGAGGCATCACACAGCAGGAGGCCAGGTTGACCTGGTTACTGCTGGGCTTCACCTGGTACAAGAGAGGGTGTACGTGCTCAGTGACCGACTTTATTTGTTTCAACAGAGGAAACGGCACACAGGTCTGTCAAGCTATCGACTGTAAAGTTTCAAAATAAAATTCCTCCAACCCTGATTCCCACTCACCTGAGCCCAGTTGTAGAGCTGTTCCAGTAGATCTTTGTCCAGGTCAGAGGTACCAATGGCGGCAATCCGCTGGCTCCTGACCAGAGCCTCCAGCTCCTCCCAGGCTGGCTGAAGGTGAGCCAATGTCTGGCTGTCGCCCTGCAGGGGCTCAGGTGGCGCTATGATAACAGAGTCGAGCTGGGACACTGCCAGAGTCTGGCAGGCTAGGGATGAGAGAATTGTTCACATCAATTGCGTGTCATTTTTAAGGCAAATGAAACTGTTGCTGAAGAGATTTAAAGCTCACCCATCTCGACTGCATCTCTGATAGAGGACAGAACCGACTCACACAGGAACAGCTTGACTGCGAAACAACAACAACAACCATAAACATGTCGTCCCTCACATACTGATGTTGTTTGTAGCATCTGGTGGGTCATTGGTACTATTTATTACACATATATTACTATGCATTACTTGTTATACGATTTATTAATTTATTTCTGATTCAGCCAGTCATCATTAGGAACGCTCTGATCAGTGCGTCGGCCATCGGATCAGGGATTTTCCTCTTCTTTCTTTTTTCTTCTTAAATGGAAACTGACGACATATTTTGACTGGAATATGTGTGCTAGCATGTTGCTTTACCCTGTTGCTAAATGTACAAAAAAAACTATATTGTACTGCACACAAGAGAAAAGTTATCTGGGAACAACTCCTGCGCAGACGTGCTGCAGTTCATCAGTCCACTGACACTAAAGGCTAAAACTAAAAGTGCCGCGGTGCAGCGGTACGCACTACAACCACTCCTAACACAGACAGGAAGGGTCACACTGCAGCGCATCAGTCTCCCAGAGCTGGTCAGGCTTGTGGTAACAGCAGATCTACATTGATGACAAATAACCCTTTGCTATTACTACCCAACGCTGGTACAAATTTAAACAGCAGGTAGAATAGTTGAACCTTTTCAAGACATTTTGATTGTTTCAGAACCAGTTAAAAACCCAATGTGGAGAAAAAGTTCAGTAAGATTCCTGCTTAAACCTCACAATAACCAGAACAGTTAAAGAGCGCGGAAGACTAATGTAATGAATGTGTTACTTCACAGATTCAATGTTCTTCTTGCAGACTATAAAACCAATACTGACCTGAAACCTTCAGCTCCTCCCTCTCTTCAGGTGTGATAGCATCCGTTTCCTGAGGAATGGAGCAGTCCAAGGTATCTGGGAAGTCCTACAGGGTAAGAAAAGTACTTTAGAGACTGTAACAAAATGAAAAAAATCATCGGTTAAGATAGACATAACTGACAGGACCCTTACAGAGACGGCCACAATGCTTGCATTATGTTTGGCATCTGATGCACACGAGGGTGCGATGGCTCAGAGTTAAAAAGTTATGATATGAAGGGAGTAGAGTGTTTTTCTTACAAGCTGCGTCACTAGTGGACTGATGGATTGGAAGCAATAATCTAAAAGTTAAAAGGCTGTGACATTTTCTTGTAAACAAACAACTTGTGTTTACATTTAGTGAAAAAAGGATTGTTTGTACCCTTGAGGTCTAACAATGAAGGAATGTCCCTCCTCATAAAGCATTTGTTTGTTCTTAAAAAGTTTGAATCACCATTCTTTACACCTTCTTTACGAGCTAGCAGTTTTCTTCTCCGCTGCCTTTGCTTCATATCTTTATCAGTGGAATAATGTGAAACCAATGGCAGCAATGTTTATTGCTTATTAGTTATTGGTTTATTGTAGATTTATTTGTCTCACTGGCACAAAAAGGCAAATAAAGCACAACAAAAAAACATCGACTGTCAGACAAATTGTTATTTTAAATGTCTGTATCGGCCCAGACTCTCCCAGCAGGTGGACCTCTACAGATCAAAACTGCCGTCGTGACTTTTACGTAAAAGTGACTGTGCACTTTTAGACCTACATGTAAACACACTTGAGTAACAAAGTCCATGTCTGAAAGATATTTAGCACAACACAATGTAAACACTCAGGCTTTACAACATGGACAGGTTACGCAACATAACTTCTGTGTGATTCCGCCAGCAAATATACACCAAACACAACTTCAGAAGGGGATGTGTCTAACGAAAGACCCCTTAGTTCAACTCATTCAAACCTCCCCCATCCCCATTTGAGTCCAGTGGGCATGGTGATAAAAGATGAGGCAGATTAGCTGAGGCTTGCAAAACAGGCAGAGCAAGAGTGTGTTCAGCAGGAATGGTGGTTCACTACGTTGGATCCTGCAGCCTCTGAAATCTCAATTTCAATTTCGGGAACATGTCAGTTTGATGGAAACAGATTACTCAATACCACTTTCTTGAAATCCTGCCACAGTTAATGAACAAAACCTGTAGAGCAAATTTTATGTGCACCCACCCCCACCAATCCCCCTCCCATCCCAACACACAGACGCACATTTGGAATGGCGCCTTTGGCAGCCAGCACTGCATGAACATTCATCATGACAGCTTCTTTTCAGTGAGCCTGGAGGCGTCCTTTGATGTCCATCACTACAGCTATTTTATTTTCCCAAGCACTGGAACCCGACTGCCTGACTATGTAGGAGCACATTATTGTGCAACTCATGCATATAGTGCAGGTCTGACGCGTAAATGCAAATACTATTGTTGTTCATTCAGTGTGGATAAAAAAAACATGCAAAACAGGTACAGGAGAGCCTGAACTATATGACCTACTATACTCTCTACATACTACATGAAAACAATAAGCAGAAAACTGTAAACGTGTCCCCACCTCGGATTGTGGTTTTATTGCAGAAAACCAGTCGCTCAGTGTGGCTTGAATGCAGTCTTGAAGCTGAAATATCAAACAGAAAAACATAACATTAAATTAACAAACTTAGCTGAGAATGAACAGCTTTTTATTCTCAGCAGTGTTATAAACAATGAAATCAGTTGGACAAACTTCAAAACCGGCTTGGAGCGTGGGACAAGGAGAAGAGACATGTCAAGTCTTATTTTAAAATCTAAGTATTTACAAATGGATAAGCACGGGGTGGCCTGCTACAGATGAGTGTAGTTGACAGGGTTATATTTTCAGTTTCACTTTTAAAAAGAAAAGTGAGGAAACATGCATTGTGTTGCACAGTTTATAGCAAAATGATTATTTGTTATAAGAAATACAAGAGAAAATATATGTTGTAGATTTTGTTCTAAATCTCTAAATAAAGAAATTATTTTCAGTCATAATTTGTCTTCAATCTCATTTTGTAAAATAAATCATATAATATGTATATATGTATCATAGTGAGTTGAGTGTCTCATTACATTCATCTGATACCTCAGTCACGCTGACGTCATATTTTAGGTATCCTCTATCTCATTGTTATAGTGGAGATCAAACTGTGGCGACTTTTGCCCTTCATTACAGCAATCACAAGTTATATCACTAACTTTGGTCTAAGGTATGGGCCGGCACAACACATGGGACTGTACCCAAATTCCAGTCACGCTTCAGAGGAAAACTGCACGTGATGTTTCCTACCCTAAAACAATGAGTGGCGTAGTGTCTGATCATGAAAGAGGCTGACCAAACCCTTTCAGGATGTTTCAGGCCACCACGCCGTTATGTAACTACAGTGAACATCTATGCAGTGCCAAAACAAGTAGTTGATTAATGGATTAGGCACTCAATAGAAAATTCATCATACTCTACTCTGATCATCAATTAATTGTCATTTATTAAGCAGAATGCCAAACAGTCCTGTTTACATCATTTTAAATGTGAGGGGTTGTTGCTTTTCCCTGTTATATCACTATAAACTGAAACCTCACTGGATTTTACAAACTATTTGAAGACAACTTAACCTCTGGGACATTACGGCTGACCATTTTCTTTCTTTTTTATAGAATAATAATGTATAATAACTCTATCACCCTAACAGATCAACTTCATATCAACAAGCTGCAGTAGGTACTTTTTATTAAAACAATAACTTAAATAATACAAAATAAAACAATAAAATGCCATTAGGAGCATTATAACGAGCCAGAGGAGTTTAAACTTATGTAATACATTTTAATAAAACTTACCTACTGCAGCTTTAATCAATGTAAAAAAAAAATCAACATTTAGTTGAAGCACTAATAAAAGATAACACAGTTTCTGAGTACATTTGAAAAAACTAGCTGTTTCATAGAAGCACCTGCTGTAACTTTACATCATCTCTCCTGGTTTACACTTACAGGTGATTTCTGTGAGCAGCTTACAACAATCATTCATAAACTGTTCATCATAAAGCTAATCACACTGCATGACCTCACCACATAAACAACACATACTCCTAAAGCTGCACATTAGCTCAGATTAATCCTCCAACTACAGGCACATTTTCTGAATACTTAAACAAAAAGTGTATTATTAATTCTCTTACGGACTGCTCAGACACCCTTACATATACTCCTTCCTGTCAGTCAACACTGGTGTCGTTAGCCTAGCTCGTTAAACATGGTAGCCTGACTTAAAGCTAAGCTACAGAGCTCCGCTGTCCCTGCAGCAGCACACAGACTCCGGTCACCTCTTCACTGGGAGAGCCCGGACACTTCTTCTTCAGACGGCTGCGGTTCACTAAATTCCCGGTGTGGAGCCTGAGAGTCTTAGCGTGGTTCAACAACCTCTTCGCCTCAGTCTTCGTGTTGCTGTTTTGAGGATCCATGTGGTGGGGTTTTTTTTTTGTTTGTTTGTTTTGTTTTTGTTTTTTGTCGCTAGCGTTGCTAACAAGTTGCTAATCGGTGAGTGTGCTAAATGTGACAGCGAGCAACCGTTCACCAACAGTTCACCGACCGTTACTGTAACCGTTGGCCAACCGCCGGGTAGCCGACAGCGCCTGCGACCGTTAAACACTGATGTTAGTTCGCTTAGTCAGGATGACTTGCAGTCAGTATCTGACTGACCTGCTGGCTTTGGTGGTTGCTTAGTGGCTGTTATGGAGGCAAGCCGGTCGGTCACGCCCACACGGAGGTGTCGGTGACTGTGCTGTAAAACCTGGCCGGGATTGATGTGGAGTACGCGGCTGCTTTCATCCATCATTCACCGACACTGGATCAGTGGAGCGGATGGTAGTATCGGGCGGTAGTCCCAGCTCCGACCACTAGATGGTGCTGTGAGTGTTTCTAATTATTCTCTCAGTCATGTCCAGGGGCTGGGGGAGTAACAGAGTACATGTAATCAGGATATAAAGAAAGTGAGATTACAGGTTGCTCTTTTAATAAAGATGGGGATTATTAAAAAGGATTATAATTTTAAAATACACAGCAGGGGAAATTTGTTTAATGCTAAAAATCTCTCTGTTTTCTTTTTAAAAGTTACGCTGTTCTTATTTGAATACACTTGCATTTAAACTTCTTCCTTTATATTTTTTCTCTTGCTTTTATTTACATATTTGGTGTTGAGGTACTACTCATTCCTCTGTACTTTTATTTGTTCTTGTAGTGGAGTATTTTTAGACTGTGATACTGGTACTTTTACTTATGTAAAGGATCTCTATAGTTCATCTACCACCTGTGGAAATCCCTGTGTAACATACCTTTGTGTACTCATTCATCCTGGGGCTGATTTCCTTGGACACAATTGAAAATATGTTGACTACAAATTGGACTTATTTAGGAACAGTTGAGCACACCGGTAAAACAGGAATCACTACATGTGTTTTGCATGTTTGCTCTTGATTCATGTGTCAACTCAAATGTGTTTGAATTTACACATCTGTGTTCGTATCTGTGTATGCATTTTAATGACCTTTTTGTGTAGATCATCAACTAACTCATTCACAGATGATGTGTGATGTTGTCAAACCAGATAGGAGTGTGTGGGTACTTTTTCCTTTCTTTTCTTTTAACAGTTTACAAATAAACCCTTTCCTGCTTCATCACGGTAATTTCCCCGTGAACAAAGCCAAGTCAGGACCTCTGGGATGAACTGGAACGGCGACTGCGAGCTATCAGCCAGCATCAGCGTTGGCTCACACTTACGCTCTTGTCTCTGAATGACAGGAAATCCCTGCAGCCAGGTTCCAAACTCTAGTGAAAAGCCTTCCCAGAAGAGTGGAGGTTGTTACAGCAGAATATCTGATTGGCTAATAAACACATATGGGTCTAATGTAGAGAATCAAATATCCACATAATCCTTAAGAATCTTAGAAATAAACCTGCAATACATTTGGTATTTTGAAGACACACATATGAAGAGTAATCACGTCACTGCTCAGTATTGAGCTGAATTATGACATTTGGAAGCAATCAAATCTTTGGAGGAATGAGTTAAATCATGAGTAGTGGTGGGAATGTAACTAGTACCCCAACCCCCGGACTCTCTTCAGTCACTATTAAACACTGTTAAAAACCTTACCTACTGTGCAATACCATACAATGTGCAATATGGGGGAAACACCGCTTTGTCACAAAGCCGTAAAACAGGGCTGTTTTTTCTGGAGCTCATGAAAAAAGTAGATTTTTTAAAGATGTGCAGTTCTCACAGGACTACAAAAATATGATGATCTTATAAAAAATGACCACTGGCTGTAGATTAAACTTACCCAACAGGATATAAAGTAGTTAAAATTATTTCAACTTGAAACAGCTGTAACATGCAAACTTAATGCAGGCAATGATATGAATCCAAACCATCATATATAAACAGTAAACACTGACAGGGACCATTTTAAACTGCAGTACTCGCTGATAATACCTTTACTTAAGCCACAGTTCAATCAAGTAGAAAAATTGGGAAAAAATTTTGGAATACCTCTTCCACCATTGTACAAGAATGAGTTACCTTATCAAAAGCTTCACTTTTTCCTTAAAATAAATTGACCAAGAATGGGGTGCAAACATAACTAACCGTTCAACATTTACAGCTGTCTTCATCAGAGTCAAAATGAGCAAACATAAGAACAAATGACAAAGAACAGACAACATAGAACAAGTTTACAATTTGTCATTTGATAAATTGGTTGAGGATTTCAGATCATATGGATAATGAATCAAAGGGTGGGTGGTAAGCTGGTGTCAAAGTGCCATCACTCATGCACTAACAGCACATTAAAAACAGAAGAACAATGGCATGAAGTTACAAAATAAAAGCAACATCAAATTTACAGAAAATGCAGAAAATATGGATCAACAGTTCAAAAACTAAAAATTATTACAAACCTTAGGGGGACCCAAGGACCACAAGTGCAGCAGATGATCAATAACACCCAGAACCAAAGCATCTGAAGGGGTTACCTCTAACACATGTAGACTGTGTTTGGTATCACAATGCAAAAGGCACTGTTCTGTAAAATTTTTAAAGAGTTGGATATTATGTTTCTCCTCCTCAAGTATATTTCCCCTAAGTGGCTCTTCTAACATTTCCGTCAGTCTTCTGGCTGGGTTTAAGTTCCTTTACATGAGTTTCCCATGTTTGGATTAAGGTTCTCAAGGCTGGAGGGTCAGCCGCCCCCACCGCCCCCA